AGGGTGGTTACTAAACAAATAGTGTCATAAAGACTGTCGAAGCTCCAGGAGGGACCTTTCTGTTCCTGCCAACATTCCACTGAAAACAGAATATAGGGGTTAGGGTTTTTTATCCATCCAAGAACCTTCCATGAAGCTAGGGGTTCCCAGCATGAGGTAGAGACCAACTAGGCCAGCTGGTTTTTGTGTGTAACTGACCAAACCTTTAACAGCTGAGATGCACAGGAAGGCTCAAGGGTCGCGGAGGGAGCTTGGCAAACCCTTGACTTTGGCACCGAGTGGGTCTCCTTTCCATGCCTCTGGTCTGCCTATTGGCAGCAAAGGAAACTGAGCTCAGCTTTGGTTGCTCCAGTCTCATCTTTCTCACCTCCTGACCCTCTTCCCTCAGCTCCCTCAGCGCTTTTATACAATGCCAAGAGTTCACAGAGTGGCTTGGCTTGCATCTTGTGAATTAAGCTGTTCTTTCCTGTTTTGGCAGAGTTTGTTTTTCTCCTGTCTGAACAATGGTGTCTGGAGAAATCTGTGAGCTACCAGGCTGTAGAAATCCTAGAAAGGTAAAGTCTGTGCAGAAGGCCATTGTGCTAGTGCCCCTCAGAATGGCGGCGCACACAGCACTAGTCGGGCCCCCCCTTACCTAGCCGCTGGCTTTGCACCCTTCTTTCACTTGCAAATGGAGAACTCCCAGCCAGCATTAGTTACCTGATCAGTGGAGCAAGTCTACAGCACAAAGTCCCTTTAATTGGTGTGATTGGAAAGTTTCTCTCCATCCTTTTCTTCCCTTACAGGTTTATGGTGAAGCAGGCAGAGAACATCTTTCAGCAAGCCACAATCCAGCCGAGAACTAAGACCGAATCGCAGAACTGGAGAGCTCTGAAAGAGCAGCTTTTCAACAAGTTTATCCTCCGCTTGGTGTCATGTGTTCAGCTGGCCAGCAAACTATCTTTCCACTACAAAGTAAGGAGCGGGGTTGCTCATGGGCACCTGAGTGTCAGAGAGAAAGCAGCTCCTAAGCTAGGTGACACTACTCATGTGGAAATTCCAGAGTGTAATTATGCTTCCTAAGCACACCGCCTGAATACACACAGTCACACAGAGGCAGTTAGTAAACAGCCTGAAGTTCTGTTCCCAAAGTATAATTGCTGGACAGATGCCATCATTCATACAGGTCACCTTTCCTCCCCTTGGACTTAAGGACAGTTTACATAAGGTACCTGAATTACCAACATGCCTATCAGCATTAAAGGCAAATGATTACACCTAAAGATAAAATGTTTCCACGTTATATCCAGTGCCTGTACAGTAAAATACCACTCATCCAGCAAATATTTATTGAGTTTTTTTTTATGGTTAGATGTTTCAGTAGAAACCATGGCTACCACAGTAAAAAATATTTATTGTCTGTGCTCTCAAGGAATCCCTTACCCAATGGGAAAAGACATGGGGGTAAACAAGGTGAAAAGGTGATCTGTTAGTGTAACAGGGCTGGGAAAGGAACTTCATCAGCTTGGGGAGTCACGGAAGTTTATTCAGAGAAAACGAATTATTGATATTGGTAGGTGGGAGATAGTAGCTACAAAGAAAATCTAAACAAAATTAGGGCGGGCAGGGAGAAAGGAAGGAGCAGAAGGTAAGGGAAATCCAGCATGTGTAATGACCAGAAGGGAGAACTTGGGTTTAACTGCAAGTAATCCTGCTTGCATAACTTAGTGGGATTACCAAGAGAGAAGACCGGTGTGGACTTGCAGTGCTCTGTGGACTGCTAGGGCTTATGACCTGCATCCTGTTATCTCTCCTCTGCCTTTTTTCTTTCTCAGATAGTCAGCAACGTTACAGTCCTGAACTTCCTCCAGGCTCTTGGTTATATGTGTACCAAAGAAGAACTACTGGAGTCAGAGCTTGATGTCTTGAAGTCCCTGAACTTCCAGATAAATCTGCCCACTCCTTTGGCATATGTGGAGATGCTCCTTGAAGTTCTAGGTACTTTATTAAATGTTTCAGGAGATGTGGGCTGGAGACTGCCATACAAGACAAAACAAAAACAAGCTGGGGGGTGCTGGAGAGATGGCTCAGTGGTTAAGAACACCACCTGCTCTTCCAAAGGTCCTGAGTTCAATTCCCAGCAACCACATGGTGGCTCACAACCATCTGTAATGAGATGTGGTGCCCTCTTCTGGCCTGCAGGCAGAGTACTGAGAATACTGTATACATAATAAATAAATAAATCTTTAAAAAAAAATTCTCTCCCCCCCCTTAAAAAAAAAAAAGCCGGACAGTGGTGGCGCACGCCTTTAATCACAGCATTCGGGAGGTAGGCCTAGTCTACAAGAGCTAGTTCCAGGACAGGTTCCAAAACTACAGCAAAATCCTGTCTCAAAAAAACAAACAAAACAAAAACATGTGCCCAGGGATTTGGGAACAGGAGTCACACCCTACCAATAAGGAGCAGTAGGAAGCCTGCATGTTTCTGAATGATGTAGATGTCTCCCCAGTACTAGTCAGGGAAGGTAGCTCAGAGGTCTCAGTGCCTGATTTGGATTCATTAGGCACTTTATTTTTGGGGGACAGGGTTTCTTTGTGTAACAGCCATGGCTGTCTTGGAACTCTCTTTGTAGACCCAGGCTGGCCTCCCAAATGCTGGGATTAAAGGTGTGCACCATTATGCTGGTCTCATTAGACTTTCTTATTGCAGGATACGAGAGCTGGGTTTATGGAGAAGCATAAGACAGAATAAATGTACTGTAATTGGATATATGCATTACTGATGGAGATCTGTCCTTTAAAATGAACCTTCTGGCCAGACATAGAACTTTAATACCAACAGTTGGGAGGCAGAGGCAGGTGGATCTCTAAGTTTGAGGCCAGCCTGGTCTACACAGAGTTCCAAGCCAGTTAGGGCTTGACCTAAGACTGCAACACTCCAGCACAACTTGACGCAGTCTTTCATGCCTGTGCTCCATGTAGGGTACAATGGCTGCTCGGTCCCAGCCACACAACTACATGCAACTTGCCTGACCCTCCTCGACCTGGTCTATCTTCTGCATGAACCCATCTATGAGAGCCTATTGAGGGCTTCAATTGAGAATTCTACACCCAGTCAGCTGCAAGGGTAAGAAACTTTTCTAGGATAGGCTCCTTCCGGGGTTGCCTAGTAGGTGACAGATCTATGAATGAGGCGTTTGGAGCTTGGTGGTAGAGTACTTTTGCCTAGTAAATTCAATACCCAGCACTGAGAAACAACACGGGATAATTGGTTCTGACTGACTTCTGTTATTGCTGATTACTGAACCAAATCGGGAAAACTCAAGGTTTTTACTATTAAATGTAAATTACTGCAAACAATTACTCTTTTCTAGTTCTTCCTTTGCCATTAGTTAAAACTTCAGAGTGCTGGATTGCTTTTATAGTCACTTGAAGGGGGGGAAAGCCTGTCACATGACTCTAACTTGGACAAAAGTGACTTTGATTACTGTACAGTCAGACTGACCAAAGCCTCACAATTACAATTGTTAGGGAGATGGAAATAAAGGCCTATCACACTCAAGACACAGGTGTACGTTTTAACCCCAGGTGAGCGGGGGAATGACAGGTAAGCTATTACCTGACCATGGCTTCTTTCTGAGTCTAAAGTGCAAGATGATCAACATGAACAATGCAGAGCTGAAGTTCTATGACCCTAGCATTTAGAACCACATTTCATACTAGCTCCAAAATTAATATGGTCTTAATTATTCAGGGAGAAGTTTGTCTCTGTGAAGGAAGACTTCATGCTGTTGGCAGTTGGAATCATTGCAGCAAGTGCTTTCATCCAGAACCACGAGTGCTGGAGCCAGGTGCGCACCACTGAGCGGGGCCAGCATGGTCAGAATAGAGAGAACAGTCTGCACAAGAGAAGTGCCAGGACCCAGGAACTGGGTACAGTCAAGAAGGGAGGGTTGGAAAACCAGAGTAGGATGGAAGTAGTGTCTCCATTTTCTTTATGAACTGGAAATAGACACTCAAGTTCAGTTTGTCCAACTCCTTTATAATTATGACCCACTGTTCTGTCTTTAACAGAGGGAAACAGCTAAGTAGAGAAAGAGCCCACGTTAACACTATCAGGGCAATGACACTTGGCCATCAGCAAACATAGGAATCTGGATTTAATTTTGTGTTCAGAAAAATGAAAAGCTTGTTAGGCTTGGGAGACTATCTCAAGTAAGAATCTGTTAGTGTGTGCATAAGCGTGCTGTGCACTACAATGTGCTGAGACTTTAGTAATGAGAAGTTCCTCTGTCTTCCTGAAGGTTGTAGGGCATTTGCAGAGCATCACTGGCATCGCTTCGGAAAGCATTGCTGAGTTCTCTTATGCAATCCTGACTCACAGCGTGGGAACACACACTCCTGGGCAACAGCAGCCTGTTCCCCACAAGGCAGCCAGAGCTCTGAGGACTGCTGCTTCCTCTAACACATGAGGCTGGCTGAACCCCAGACACAGCCTTCTGTCACTGTATTCTCCTCTTTGTTTACTTCTATTCTCAGGGTACAAAAATTCCAAGTTTCCTTTGGATAGTATTTTGTATTCCAATTTCAGGCACTTTTCCCCTATATCAGAGACAGTTATGGTGGACAAATACATCCTTGTATGTTCATAGCAGGCTAAAAACATCAAAGAATTGGAGAGAGTTAGATTATGAAATTGGTTCATTTTTGTTTGACAAGACATTTAAGCTTTCCTAATTTAATCTGATTATCAGAGAACACCAGATAAGTATTACCCAGGGTTTTAAAACAGACTTTTGGATGGCCTTGGCTGAGTGTCTGAGTAGCCTTTCTTCCCTTGCTCCCCTACAGCTAAACCTTCCTTCCTTCTTTTTTTTTTTTTTTTTTTTTTAAAAGATAGGATCTCACTATTTGGATGTGGCTGTCTTAGAACTCACTATACACAACAAGCTGGGCTGGAATTCAGAGATCCACTTGCCTCTGCCTCCTGAGTTCTGGGATTAAATACCATCAAGTCTGGCTTACTATTTCATTTCATTTTATTTTATTTTTTAAACTAAAACATTTTTCAACAGAATTTCTACAAAACTGACTGGAACTCAATTCTTCCAGAATATAAAATACTCAATTTTAAAGAAAAACTTACCATCACATCTCTTGGTAATTAATAGACCATAGCAAATCCTTTATTACAAATCATTAAATCTTTCCATGTCTCAAACAGTACCAAACAGCATTTTGTAATCCTAACAGACAGTAGAGTAGGCATTTAATACTAGAACTACGTGAGGAAAGAGTTAGACTTCCAGCATCTGACCTCGTGTCCTTTCCCACATCATCCAACTGTGTACCACTAATATCATCTTAAAACGTTCCTATTTCATATTGTAAGTGCAGGAAGTTGAGAGAGATAAAATCCAGTGAGAACACATCAGTGTCAATCAACTAAAAGTTAATGTCAATTAGTTGTTTTCAAGGGAATGGCAAAAGGAAAGCATGGGGTTGAGTCAAAACTGTGGCAATGGCTGCTTGCTATCCTCTGGAAACTATCTGTCACATGATATTTTAAAATAAAGTGGCTTTTGTCTCTTTTGGTATTGTAAACATGTGGTTTAATATTACCCAGATTTAATTTAAAGCATCTTTCCAAACGAAACCAAATGTAAAACTTTAAAGGCGAACAACCCCCGAGGAGTAAGTCACTTGTTATAGAACTGTGAGGACACCCAAGCAAGACCCCACTTAAGATTCGTCAGCATGAACTTGAGCGCTTTTGTCCACTGCTCCTCAGAGTTAAACTGAGTTTTGATGGAATAGGAGCCGCCACTGCCTCCAGTGTCTTCAATCTTGCCTTTCTCCACATCCATCCTGCAGACAGATGAAGCAGAGCTCATTAAGAAACAGATCCAAGTTAAGTCAGTTCAGGCAAATGGGCAAGGGATTTGACCACGAGACCATTCCCGTCATTTATCTAACAGCGCTTGGCAAGGAGCTACTGATAGTGTGTATTTTGGATTTGCTTGAAACCCTAAAATAAAAGGCTGTCACAAGAGCCTCATTGTCATTGCAGAGTACAAGGGCAGGACACACCCAAACACATGACAAGTCTGGAGCAGGAGAGGAGTGAAGGCTACAGTACTCCTCACTGTCTGCCTAGGCATCCCTGAACTCAGGAGCAGAAAGAGGCAAAAGAAATAAACAGTTTGTATTTATTCCTTTTCTCACTACGAAGCACAGACTGACCTTTAAAACCACACATTCTTCCTGCCTCAGCCTCCGGAGTGCTGGAATTATAGGTGTGCCCATCTTACTTGGCTCTCAAACTCAGTCTCTTGAACTAGTCTCTATGCAGGGCTACTACACTAAGACAAGCATTCTTGTATACTCCCAAAGGCTGCAGGAAAAAGCCTTTCTGGAATGAGGCTACAAACTTGATCTCTGTCTCCAGAAAATCCCCACTACCACCTACAACAATATTCTTTACTCCAGGGACCAGGTGATTGCACTCTGTTCTGCTTGCAATATGAAATGAGTCCTTGCCCATCAGCGGCCTATGATTGCACTGTTTTCCCTCTTGCCATTTTTAGAATGTTTCCATTCACTACCTTTTAATTCAGTTTAGTCCCTGCTACAAGTTCACTGAGCCTGCAGAGGATAAAGGGCAAACTCTCACCTGTATGGAAGACAAAATCGTGTCTCGCCTTTCTCCACCTCTTCTTTGAACTGCTGCACACAATCCAGAAAAGCTACCATTGCATGGTCAAACTTGTTGTCCCAGAAAAACCGCAATCCCCCAGAACAGTATAACGGCAACTCCTGCCCAAGAAGAGAGAACTGGCTATGGGCATGTCCCCAGTCATTCCCTGCACTCCAATCACCTGAGCTTTGTCTACGCCCACCAGAACAAGTATTATAGCTGACCAATGTCTTCTATAACCCTCAACCACTCCAACAGCCCTGGGCAAACAGCAACTCCCAGCAGCCTCCCTACCACTGGAAATGTACTGAACTTCAGCATATTCCCACCCCCAAGTCCCCAAGTGCATGCACTCCTCTGATCTGCCCAGACCCTTTCTCAACAGGCTGTAAAAACCTGAATTTTTTCCACCAACCCCAAAGAGCTAAGTCTGAACAAGATGTTGTTGGCTCCTTATGAGATAGTCTGAGAAAGAAACTGAAAAATGTCAGCAGGTATAGAAACTAAACTTTTCTAAGCACAAGGTCTTGTATACTTTAGGCAAGTACCCTATCTCTAAGCTACATCCCTAGGCCCCAAATGTACTCATTTTGTTAGAATAAACAAGAACTCTAGCTCCCAGAGTACCTTAGATTTGTCTGTCAGAGACTCCAGATATGAATGATTTCCATAGGGAACAAGTCGGTACCTAAAGTGGAAATGCAGAAATGGCTACAGGATTTCTCCTATGGTGATTATTGCAAAGTTGCAACCCAGTAATTTTCAATCTGCATCTTACCCAAGGACTTTATTATTTATTATCCCCACCTCCCTCCACCTCCCTCTAGAGTCCATGTTTAAAGACTTAACTAAAAAGACTTCATCTATTATGTAACGGGTACTCATCAACTTATGTATATTTTGTCTTTGTTTTGTCTTTAAATGACAGGGTCTCCTTATGTGGGCCAGGCTGATCTTGAACTTTTGATCCTCCTGCCTCAACTCCCCCAGTACTGAGATTACAGGTGTTCAACACTGTGCCTGGTATTTTGCTTTAAAAGGTATGTATAACTTGAGGCCTGTGGGTTGCCCATGTTCCCATGACAGCTATGAATAACACTCAACACATTTGTAGACAACAATATCATGTCATAGTATCCAAAGGCTGGACACCCTGGTAGGTTTTTAAAAACAAACACTCAAACTTCATTAGGGAAAAATTAGGTTCTGGAGACTTTTGGGACCACCACTGGAGTCATGCAGGTTGATGATACTGCTCCATGACATCACAGCAAGAGCCCTGAGATGAAGGGAAAGCAGGGCACAGGCCCTTCTGTCTGCTGGCAGCAAGAATTCTGGCCATAGTGAAGCAGTACCATGTGGTATAGACAGAAGACATCACAGACACGCCTTGCCCAAGGTGCCGTGGAGAGCGGCATGTTCTCACCTCTGAAATTTCAGACCCATCTTATTGGCTAGGGCATGCAGCAGCAATACTGTCTGGCCCCAGGCAGCATTGATTTCATTCCATTCCACAGGAACACTGGGCAAGCGACCTAGTCTGAAGTTATTGATTGTGCCAAACTGTCCACTGTGCCTATAGAGAAGGGCAGAGGGGGTCGGGGGGAAATAGAGATTATAAAATGTTTGAGGTTTCCACTTTCACCCAGAAACTAGCATACACTTCTTTTGGCTGCCCCAAACCTAAGGCATCTTTCCCCCTGCTGTTTGGATGTCCAAGCAGAACTGAGAGTCACTGAACACTCTTACACTCCTCCCCCAACAAAATAACAAAACAAATATCAAAGCCAAACAAACCCTCCACTGAGTCTGCCTCCTACCCCTCTCTCTCTTAGACTGATTTACTTTAATTTATGTGTATGAATGTTTTGCCAACATGTTTGAATTTGTACCAATGCATGCCTGTTGGATTCCCTGGAGCTGGGGTTATGGATGATTGACAACCACCATGTGGGTGCTGGAAATTGAACAAGTTCTCTGCAAGAGCAACAAGCGCTCTTAACTGCTGCTGAGCCGTCTCTCCAGTACCTCCCACTTGTCTTAAATCTGTCTACTTTCCCTCCATCTCAAGGCTGCTATTCTTTCCCAGTTTAAGAGTTCCATACCTCCTTCCCAGATTATCTCTCACCCTGTAAGCAAAGCTGCCATCCACAGATGCAAATGTGCTTGTGTCACTTCCCTGTCTGCAATAATTCCCTCTGCCTTTGGGATCAACTCCAAATGCCTTAATAATGGTAATTCTCCAGTTTCACATCTGGTCACTTGCCCCTTTACACTCAATCTTCAGTCATAATAAGATCCTTTTAGTTCTTTGAATTTGCCATTCCCTTGCTCCTGTTTCTTTGCACACGATGTTCTCTTTGCCAGAATAACTCTTCCTCTGTAGACATCTACACCCCTCAGCCATATCAGCCTTCTCTGGGTGAAATTTTCCATGCAGCTTCCTCAAAGTGGGAAGGTCTCCTTTCATTTCATGTTCTCACAGAACCCTTGGCACACTATCACACTGTATGACACCAGTCTGCTATTTATGCATTCCTTGAAGGCAATGAGCAGCTGGTATACTGTAGATTTCTTACTGGGACTCTCCTGGTGTCTAGCACAGTGCTTTCCACTCATCAGATACTCAATAGTTATTAAATCAGTTATACACGAATGAGCCTGGGGTTAGTAAATCAGTACCAGGGCTGGAGAGATGGCTCAGTTGTTAGGACCACTGGCTGCTCTTTCACAAGACCCAGATTTGATTCCCAACACCCGCATTGCAGCTCACAACTTTTTGTTACTCCAATCTCAAGGGTTCAACAACCTCATCTGGCCTCTGTGGGCACTAGGCATGCATGGGGTGCAATGACATATATGGAGGCAAGCACCCGCACAGATGAACATAATACAAAAATTTTAAAAACAGCACCAGGCAACAGGATTTGGTGGACAGACACCACTAAATTCCTGTTGGTTTTTGTTTCACTTTTTCTAAGAGAGTTTCTCTGTGTAGCCTTGGCTACCCTGGAACTCATTCTGTAGACCACCAACCTGGCCTCAAACTCAGAGCTCTGCCTGCCTCTGCCTCCCGAGTGTTGGGATTAAAGTTGTCAACCACCACTGCCCAACTAACCACTCTAGAATCCTGCCTGTGTGCATTCGAGTGTGTGCATTTGCACCCTACATTATAGCTATCCTAGTACAAGGAATGACATAAAGCTGGCCTAGGTGCAGACCCCCAGTGCCTCTTCTATGGGGAGGTGTTCACCCAGCTATGTGGCTGACAAATACAAACACTTCCCAGATGAGCCTCCCCCAACCCCGAGCCCTCATTACCAGATATGGAAGGTGGCATTGAAGACATTGGTTTTCTTCAGTTTGTCCAGCTGCATCTGGGCATACCGCATCTGGTTCTCTACACTCTTCAGCTCATCATCCAGCTCCAGCTGCTGTCTTTTAAACTCACTGTATTCCCGCTGGTACCTGCGAGCAGCCAAGGGGACCCTAAGGGCTGAGCATGGAGGCTGTCGTCTCTTTCTCACCATTCTTCTCAAGGACTTACTCTAGTGGTAGAGTTACAGCTTATTACATAAATCTCCATTTGCCATTGATTCCTCTCAGAGGAATGTTTTGCCTACAAGGCATAAAAACACCTCAAATTCCGGGTGCCCATATTTAAAAATATAGATTAAAAAAAAAAAAAAAAGGATTCTCGTGAACCATGACAAAAACATTTCTGTATTTTTTTGTTTTTGTCAGAAGTAAAATAAGTAAGAATGGGGGCTGGAGAGATGGCTCAGAGGTTAAGAGCATTGCTTGCTCTTACAAAGGTCCTGAGTTCAATTCCCAGCAACCAAATGGTGGCTCACAACCATCTGTAATGAGGCCTGGTGCCCTCTTCTGGCCAGCAGGCATACACACAGACAGAATATTGTATACATAATAAAAATAAATATTAAAAAAAAAAAAGTAAGAATGGGTCTCTTAGCCAGGTGTGATGGTGCACACCTTTAATCCCAGCACTCAGGAGGCAGAGGCAGGCAGATCTCTGAGTTTGAGGCCGGCTTGATCTCAGAGTGATTTCCAGGACAATTGAGGCTGTTAAACAGAGAAACCCTGTCTCAAACAAAAAGAATGAGTCATATTTTTTATTTGTGTGTAGGCAGGCTTTGGATCTCTTCTACCATGTGGGTCTCAGGGATTGAACTTGGGTCATCAGGCTTGAAGGAAAGGGCTTTAACCCACTGGACCAGTTAGCTGGCCCAAGAGTAACGTTTTCAGAGCCCTGGTGCCACCCTACCTAACTAAAACATCCTTTCTTCACTTATTATGTCAAGTCTTCGTCTACGGCCCCAGACACTCTCCTGGAAACAAGCCCAGAAACAACAGGCAGGACTGGAGCAGACACGGCACTGACTGACAGCTGACCTAATGGGACGTGTTCAGCCAGAAACCACTCCCTGACCTGGTATTAGAGACAGGAAGGTAGAATAGCAATAGCAGGGCGAGCACTCACTGAGCTTCCTCCTGATCCAGACTCTCCGCCTCAGCCTGGACCTTCTCTAGGTTTTCTGCCACTACCTTGCGGTTTTTCTCCACATCTTCCAGCTCCTGGATCAGCCTCTCCTCCTCCAAGGCTAGCTCCTTCAGCTCTCTCTGTAGCTGCTCACTGTCATCCTCGTTCATTTGCTCGAGGATCTCCAAACAGCGTCTGCCAAGAACACAGTCTATTGACTAGAGAGCACCTGTGTCCCACGTGCCCGAGGACCAGCACCCCCAAGTCCTACCGGCCGAGCAGTCCCAGGAGCACCCTGGCCCTGGAGGTACTTACTTATAGTTCTGACACTCAGTCTCCGTGACGTTGAGCTGGGTGTCGAGCTGGTCGAGGAGAGTATCTGTGCATTCCTCACACAGTGGGTGATCCACGTCTGTCTGACCCGACATGATGTCAAAAAGGTCTCCAGTGACCTGGAGACAGGACAGTCAGGATAGGGCTTCTTCTGGGCTATTTGCCCAGTCAATCCCTATAACAACTATACACAATTCTTGACAGTGAAATGAGGCCAACTTGCCTTCAGTCTTCGGCTGAGATTCTCCATGGTGCCACCATCAGATGCCTCCCCGATCAGAGTGAAGCTATTAGCACTTTCGGTAGACATCATCCTGCAGATAGCCCCCCACCCATGGGCCACATGAGGGAGCAGAGAGGCCTCCTCCACCTAAGCACTGGCTGAGGGGCCTCACGGGTCATACCCATTCCTAGCCCGACTGGACCTCCCAAGGGTACCTATCTCCCAAGAGAAGGCCATGCTGGTCTTCCACAGGGGCACTACTCAGCAGGAAGTTACCCCAGGTGGACTAAGGAGAAAGGGGGGGCAATCAAAAATGGATATGTATGTTTATAGCAAAAAGCAAGGAGGATCAAGAAAGACCATTTTTTTTAAATACTAACACTTCCTGATGGCAACTTTTACCTGCTACATTGATGAGAACTAAGAACCTAAACATCTAACAAGCACCACTAAAACCTTCTCCAGAACCCATCTCAATCACTCCCTCAACATCAAAGGCACTAACCCTTCTCACTGTGGGAATGGCTATAGAGGAAAAAAGAAAAAAATCAGTGCTGAAAGGCGATGGGTAATGTGTCAGAGAACATATCTTTTCTAACAGCTAAAGGGCTAGATGATAATTCATCTACATCACCTGGTCCCAATTCCTAATTCCCAGGTTTAATTAAAATTCCCTTGGCCGTTGGCAAGAAACAGGGGACTGAGGAATAGTAAGCACCTGGCTGGGGGGATGAATCTTCGAGAGACACCATCCTGGCGAGTTTCAATAAATGGCTCCTGAGAAAGAAACAAGAGTGCATTAGAGCCGGGCGGTGGTGGCGCACACCTTTAATCCCAGCACTCGGGAGGCAGAGGCAGGCGGATCTCTGTGAGTTCGAGGTCAGCCTGGTCTACAAGAGCTAGTTCCAGGATGGGCTCCAAAAGCTACAGAGAAACCCTGTCTCAAGAAAAATAAATAAAAGGGCATTAGAATTCTGGCAACTTTGGGGAAATCTATTTCCCCTAAAGCCAAAGAACTATTTGACTTTAGCCTAGATAGCTAACCATAAAACCTGATAAACCAGAGCAACTTAAGAAGTGGGTAGGGGGCTGGAGAGATGGCTCAGTGGTTTAGAGCACCGTCTGCTCTTCCAAAGGTCCTGAGTTCAATTCCCAGCAACCACATGGTGGCTTACAACCATCTGTAATGAGATCTGGCGCCCTCCTCTGGCGTGAGGGCATACATGGAGGCAGAATGTTGTATACATAATAAATAAATAAATCTTAAAGAAGTGGGTAGGGTCTGGGCTGGGAGATGGCTAAGTAAATACCATTCTTTCTATTAAGGAAGAGGGACCAAGTTCAGATCCCCACAGTTAAACAAACAAATGGGGCAGGGAGGCACATGCCTTTGATCTCAATAATCTGGGAGGCAGAGATAGGCAGGTCTCTGTGCGTTTAAGGCCAGCCTTGTCTACATAGCACAAGAACTAGGATAATATAGAGACCCAGTTTCTGAAAACCAAACCAAAACAAAACAACACCCCCCCACACACACACAAAATAAAACCCAGAAAGAAAAATAAAGGGTGAGCAGGATGGTGTGCACTTGTAATTGCAGAACTGGGAGATCTTTCTACCCTCCTGGGTCTAAGCAGCCAGCCTAATCTGTAAGCCCAAGGATCAGGTCCAGGCTAAAGCCCGTCCCAAAAAAATAAAGTGGCGTGCCAGGCCGTGGTGGCTCACGCTTTTAATCCCAGCACTCAGGAGGCAGAGGCAGGTGGATCTCTGTGTTTGAGACCAGCCTGGTCTAAAAAGTGAGTTTCAGGACAGGCTCCAAAGCTACACAGAAAAACTCTGTCTTGAAAAACAAAATAAGGGCTGGAGAGATGGCTCAGTAGTTAAGAGCATTGCCTGCTCTTCCAGAGGTCCTGAGTTCAATTCCCAGCAATCACATAGTGGCTCACAACCATCTGTAATGAGGTCTGGTGCCCTCTTATGGCCTGCAGTCATACACACAGACAGAATATTGTATACATAATAAATATTTAAAAAAAAAAAGAAAACCAAAAAAACAAAACAACAAAAAACCAAGCAGTAGGGCCTGCCTAACAGAACTGCATGCCTACTGTCATCTTGTATATAACAGTTCTTCTATGTTCAACATTTTATAGTATCACTGGCTTCAGCTGTCCTCTTTTGCTTCTTTGCAGGTTCTCTCTGGCCCCTGCATCCTAGCTGCCTGCAGAGCATGTGCAGAGCAGAATTAACAGCCCCCAATCCACTTAAGGTTTGCTTTCCAGATGACAGACAGCCAGGTGAATAAATATTCCCTTATTACCCTGACAAGCTAACTCTCAGGGGGTGAAGCCAACACCCTCTAACAGGTGCTGCTCCACAGAATGGAGCTCCAAGTACCCACTCGGGCTTGACTATGCCTCCATCCTGGCTTCCTTCCCTTTCCCATCTCCCTTCTCTGCTTCCTACTAGAGTTTGCTAGGATCTCTCCCAAATAAATAACTTCTACTTAAACAATGATCTGTTTCCTGCAAAAGAAAAGCAACTTACAACATATATCTTTAGTAATGAAAACCATCTCTATTATTTCTATTGTTATTGTTATTACTATTTTATTATTTAGTAATTATTTAGTAATGAAAACCATCTCTATTATTCCTATTGTTACTGTTATTACTATTTTATTATCATCACTGTGCAGTGCTGGGGAGAACCCAGGCCCTTGCCCATGCAAAGCAGGGGATCAATCACTGAACTACATCCCCAGCTTTATCACTGACAGCGTTAAATTTAAAAATGACATATATTCTAACACTGCTAATCTGCTATGTCTATGGTAAATATACCACCATCTGTCCAAATGAGATTTGTTTGTGAATGGAGAGGAATGGAGACAATAGCTATAGAGAATAAAAAACATGAACCAAAAATGCCCTGGAGCCACCCAGACACACAGGTCATCCCACCTCTGACCATAGTCATTTACCTTTAAAAATTACATTATTTATTTCTGTGTAGGTGCATGCTCATGCCACAGTACAAAGGGCAGCTTGTAGAAGCCAGGTGTCTTTCCCCTGTGTGGGAATGAGGGATTGAACTTAAGACTATTAGGCTGAGCCCAGGCTGACTGGAAACTTATAACAATCTTTCTGCTTCAGCCTTCCAAGTACCTAGAATTGCAGGCATTAACCACTATGCTGGTCTATAATCACATTTTAAAATCCATTTTAAAAATATTTATTGACACTACTGAGACCTCAAGAACAATGGCAATGGGTTTTTGATCCTACTGTACCTATTGGTTTTGTGGGAGCCTAGGCAGTTTCGTGGATGCTCACCTTACTAGACCTGGATGGAGGTGGGTGGTCCTTGGACTTCCCACAGGGCAGGGAACCCTGATTGCTCTTTGGGCTGACGAGGGAGGGGGACTTGATTGGGGGAGGGGAAGGGAAAGGGGAGGCGGCGGTGGGGAAGAGACAGAAATCTTTAATAAATAAATAAATAAAAAATATTTATTGACGTATTGGTGTGTGTGTGTGTACAAGCGCACACACAAACTCAGGTGACAGGATGAGTGGCAAGCATGCTTACCCACTGAACCATCTCGATGGCCTTATAATTCCTTTTTCGCTTTTTAATTTTTGTTGTTGATAATTATTTTTTGGTTTTTGTTTTTCCAGAGAGTTTCTTTGTGTAGCCCTGGCTGTCCTGAAACTGGCTCTGGAGACCAGGCTGAATGCCCAGAGATCTACCTGACTCTGCCTCCTAAGTGTACCACCACTGCCTGGCCATAATTCTACTTATTAATGGATGCATTATTCAGTAACCCTGTGCCTTGGGGTACATTCTAGTACCTCCAATGACTCACAGTGGACTGACCATGAGCAACTTTCCTTTTTCTTTTTTTTTTGGTTTTTCAAGACAGGGTTTCTCTGTGGCTTTGGAGCCTGTCCTGGAACTAGCTCTAGTAGACCAGGCTGGCCTCAAACTCACAGAGATCCGCCTGCCTCTGCCTCCCTAGTGCTGGGATTAAAGGCGTGCGCCACCACCGCCAGGCAACTTTCCTTTTTCTTTGTCTGCAGTGCTGGGATTGAATCCAGGAACTTGCACAACCCAGAGCTATAACCCCAGTCCTTAACTCTGTTTCTTTCTGTTTTTGGAGGAACTGTCTCACGTGTACTGGGCTGACTTCAAACCTGCTATAAACATAAAAAATGACCTTGAACTTGTAATCCTCCTGCCTCCATGCCCAGGTTAATGTGATGCTAGGGCTCAAAGCCAGAGCTATGTGCACAGTAGGCAAGCTCTCTACTAAAGGAGCTACATCCCCAGCCCCTATTGTTTTGTTTTTAATACATGTATTTCAGGCTGGTCTGGAATTCACCAGGTAGCCCAGGCTGGCCTCAAATTTGTGATCTTTAGGGCCTCAGCCTCCCAAGTGGATTACAGATGGGCAACACTGTATCTGGCTGGAATGTTGTTATTAACCACTCTCTATTATTAGCCCCCAAAGTCTGGGGCACCAAATATTCTGCAGAGATCCAGTCTGTACTCTGGTGTTTTCACGTCAGCCTCCCGTTTAGCAGGCTGTGAGAACGGGGAGAGGGTGCTTTTTGTTTTTTACCTCTCCTGAGTGAGCCTCTTCCTCCTGGGTCTCTCCTGGTTTCGCCTGGTTTGTGGTAAGTAATGGAGCTAAGGGTAAGGAAAATCCTCAGTCAGAACAGTCTTATCAAATCAGGAGAGCTTCCCAAAGCATGGGAAAGAACCTGAAATAGTCTCATTACCAGCCCAACGCTACCACAATCTCTCTAGATAGGGTCTCACTGTGTAACTCAGGAGGCAGAGACAGGACAATCTCTTATGAGTTTGCTACATAGTGAGGCTCTGTCTTTAAAAAAAAAAAAAAGAAAGAAAAGCAGAAGAAAATAGGGTGGTGGTGGCGCACGCCTTTAATCCCAGCACTCCAGAGGCAGGTGGATCTCTGTGAGTTTGAGGTCAGTCTGGTCTACAAGAGCTAGTTCCAGGACAGGCACCAAAGCTAGAGAAACCCTGTCTCGAAAACAAACAAACAAACAAACAAACAAAAAAAA